TGTGGCAAAAAATGTTCTTACAAGAATTGTGTTTCAGAAATGCTAAATTCAACATGTTTATCAGATATTCAAGTAAGAAATCCAGTAGGCAAACAGACAAACAAGGCACAGGAGAAAATTGGACTGGAGATAAAGAACCAGGGTTCCTCACAGATAGTAGTGTTTTTATAGCCATCAGGCTACACCCAAGTGAGATGAGCAAGGTCAGAGCAAGGGAGAGCAGCTAAGGAGCTGTGGGAGGGAGAATGGTCCAGCAGTGAGGTGGGGCAGAAGTCAGGGAGAACTTGGCAAGTAAAGAATTTCAAGGGGGCTAAACTGTCAAATGCTCATGGGTGTTAATCAAATAACAGAGGCCTTGCTGGTGTGGAGGTGGAGATGGTGATTAAAGGCCTGATGGGAGAGGCCATGGAGGCAAGCTGGCCAGCTCCTCTGCCTTTTTCTGTAAGGAGCTTCAGAAGTGGACTTAGGGAGGTGAGATCAGGGGATAAAATAGCAACTCTTCTCCTCTCCTGAGTATACTTTCTTTCTCTACTCAATCTTTTTTCTTTTGGTGAAATTAGGAAGCAAAATCATTTGCCTATACTCTAGGGAGCAGGAAATGTGTAGACATAGCAGTAAAAAGAAAAAAAATAATTACTAAGCCATCTGTCCACACTTTTAGTATATAGGTTTCTTTTTTTTTCCCTTTTATTGAAAATAGATTCTTTTCTCACATAATGTACCTAGTTTCTCCTCCCTCTACTACTCTCAGTTCTCCCCATCGCCTCTTCCATCTGGATACCTTTATCCTATAGGGAGGGAGGGAGGGAGGGAGGGAGGGAGGGAGGGAGAGAGAGAGAGACAGACAGGGGTGGGGGCTTGGGGCTGGGAGAGGGACAGAGACAGAGAGACAGACCAGGTCTGGCATGGGCTTTTGAAACCTCAAAGCCCACCCCTAGTCCACACTTCATGTAACAAGGCCACACCTCTTAATCCTTCTAATCCTATCAAAGAGTTTTATTCCCTGGAGACTATGCATTCAAACCGTTTCTATTCAAACTATCACACTTGACAAATAACTGTACTGCTGACTGCTGTCCCTAGCACAATGATTTTTAAGATTTTTTTTCCCTAAAATGAAATACTTTACTTTAAATATCAAAATAATGAAATCTAATTATTGACATCCTAATTTTGATAGGTGGATTACAATGAGATATTTCTGTCTTGTGTAGACCCTAAAGGCAATGGAATGTTGATAATGACTTATTTTGGATATTTAGATTTATTTTGGAAATACACCAAAGTGGGGAAATCAGTAAAGGAGACCATACATTTATCTCATCAGCTGGTCAGCTGATGCTTTGTTTCAACTTTAATCTGGAAATCTGATCAGAATAATAAGTTTAAAAAAATTTGGGTTGGGGGGCTTTGCTATGATGTCTATTTTCTAAAATGTGTTACATTTTCCAATTAGTTGTATATTTAATTATATTTCAAAACTCAATAGGTTTCTGAATTCTTTTTTTTATTATAACATAATTACATAATTTTCCTTTCCTTTCTCTTCCCTCCAAACCTTCCCAGATACCCAGCTTGTTCTTTTGCAAATTTAAGGCCTCTGTTTTTCTTGCTGAAGTTTTGTGAATAGTACTATTTGCTGAAGTGACTTTAAACCAAAGATTTCTTTACATTAAACCAGTTTCCTATAAAACAACTGTGCAAAGATTAGAAATGTTGGATAGATTTTAGTGATACCAGGATCAAAAGAAGAGCAAGAAACTCTTTGCTGCTTTAGAATGTTTATCTTATAAACTGCTTCACTGTTTATGTTATGGCATATGGGTTAACAAAACCTAGTTCTTGCAACTATTGAAGATGTAGACTAGAAATAGTTCCTTATCTTATATATAATCTCACTTTTCTTGAGAACTGCGTGTAGTATATTCATGTTTGTGGAGGCCAGAGACAGCTTCAGATGTTGTTCCTCAAATCCCAGCTTCTTTTGATGATGTTATTGGTGATGGTGGCGATAGCACTGGTGATAGGGTGTGCATGTGCACATGTGTGCATGTGTGTGAATTTTAAAAATATTTTCCTCACCAAGCTGTCTCCTCATTCCCATGTCAATTTATCACTTTATAATTTGTTTTTTAAAAATTATAGAGTTCAGAATGCTATCTTTCAAAACAGACTTTCAAATTATATTACACATCTACTCACTGCTTACCTGATGCTATATATCTGTCACTACTGCTGACAGCATTACTTGTTATTACTAGCAGTAAAAAAGGAAACGAATTTAAGACTCTTTCAGTTATCTCAAAATAAAATGTTTGCTAAATGAAATAATCAGTATAACTCAAACAATCTATTATGAAATCATTTTTTCAACAGAAATCAGTTGGGTTTTGTTTGTTTGTTTGTTTGGGGTTTTGTGTGTGTATGTTTGTGTTTGTGTGTATGTTTTCTTTCAAAATCGTATGCAGCAGTACTTAAAACTGTTTAGTCTCTTGCATACTATGAGTGGGTGTAGAGATAGCAGAGTCAGATGACCATGAGCTACATGGCTCTGGGGAAAGCAAAAGCTGTTACTGAAATATACATTGCTAAAGGAGTTGAGAGAACTTGGTGCTCAGCCCTCCGCTCCATTAATGCCGGTCTCGAGATAGCTATACCTGGTGTCAGTATTTGTATGTCTGCATTTATAATCTATATGTGCATTTGATTGTATATCTGCATTTATAATCTATATGTGCATTTAAAAACATCACTTACTTTGTGTACATTGAGAAGTGTCTGATTCTCACTGACAGGATGTTTGCCAAGTCAGTGATAGCACATGCCATCTTAGCAAGTGATGAATTTCTGTTGGCCTAACTCACTAGTTTAGTTACAGAAACTAGTTACTCATGCTCAGAAGTGCACAGTCCCTAGATAGGTTTGGGATTTATCTCTTTTTTGACTCAAACTATTCTACTCATTTAATGAAATGAATGGATTTTGTTCCATAAACAAAAAAGAAAACCTTTTATAAAGTTTTGAACTCTTAATCTTTTAGAACAAATTAAGTCCTTTAAAAGATGGCTTAGTTCGTTTTCTTTGAGAGTAATATATTGCTTTAAATTTATTATTTTCCTTTCATCCTATATTTTAAAAAATGATTCTTGGTCTGTGGAATTACATCACTTTAATTTGATTTATACTGCTGTCTTGCAACATGTGCAAGTGAAATTTTACATGCCTTTAACTGTTTTATTTTCAAATTAATCACTTATTGTATACAGTGAAGACACCACCATCATATTACTGTCTTTGATCTCTAGATAAAATGTTGATACAGTATATCAATGTAATTATTTACCTTTAAAGCCAAGTAAAAATGTATGGCCTTTAACATCTTTTGAATATTCTTTATCCCTTCAGCTGCATTCCATTTAAACTGTGTGTCTGGGACCAAGCAGAGTAAGACTATGTGTTCCAACCAGCACTAAACCACAGCAATAATTAATGAGTGGAAGACCACTGCTCTCACTCCCAGCTTCACTCTGTTACCTGTGTTCATTCGTAGAGTTAGGGCTTCTTGGGCTCTTTCCCATCCACTTTTGTAAGACTTAACAATTTGAAAACTGTTGTTTACATGGAATGTGTGCCACTTCTGTACCTGTAGGGTTATTGTGACATGCTCATTATTGATGTGGTCAATTGACTGGTTGACGTGTTTGGCCCATCATGTTGGGGAGACTTTATTTACTAGGAGACAGAGGCACACAGCAATTCGCTGACCCTCTGGCTCTTACAATCTCTCTGTCCTCTCTTCTGCAACATTCCCTGAGCCTTAGGTGTGAGACTATTTTGTAGATTTATCCACGGGGAGAGGGCTCCACAACTCTGCACTTTGTTTGGTTGTAGTTTTCTGTCGTGATCTCTGTCTGTTGAAAGAAGAGGTTTCCTTTATGAGAAATGAGAACTATGCTCACCTGTGGCTATAAGGACAAATGTTTATAGACTGTTGTTAGGCATTATGCTGGTTTAGTGAATTAGTGGTTGTAGACTTTTCCAATTACCATGTTACTAGCACTGGTAGTTACTTAAGTCCAATACTAGGCATAGTTTCCCTTTTATTAAGTAAGACTTAACAATTTGAAAGCTGTTGTTTACATGGAATGTGTGCCACTTCTGTACCTGTAGGGTTATTGTGACATGCTCATTATTGATGTGGTCAATTGACTGGTTGCCTCTCTCCTCTAGAAGTTTCCATAGTACCTTCTGGTACTATAAGAGCTAGTCCTCATGGCAAAGGCATTCACGTTAGTTCCAACTCACAAGTCTGTTGGCTCTGTATTTGTTATTGTTATTATTTGTTTGTTTTGTTTTGTATTTTTAATAGCCCTTGGAATGATTTCTATCCTATTATGAATTACTTTCTCATTATCTATTTACTTATTCACTTTACATCCCAGTATCAGCGCCACCTTTCCTCCCAGTACCTCCCCATAGCTCTTCCCACCACTCTCCCTCCTCTTCTCCTCTGAGAAGGGGAACCACCCCTGGATATCAGCACATCACCCCCCAGCACATCAAGTCACTGCTGAACTAGGCACATAGAGTTAACCCTGTTCTCTAAGCGCATGGTGTCTTCAGCAGTAGGGACTCACCGTCTGCTTCTGAGTACAGTGAGAGGCAGTTGCAGTAAGCTGTGTGTTTTGGGAGTCTTAGATAGCTCTGGCCAACAACTTAAGAGAAGGCTTCTTTTGATACTAGGGTTTTTGTTAGGTAGTTTGGCTCTTGGGTTAAACATCAGTCTGGAAGAAAAAGCTTATTAAAACTATATATGTATATCTATGTAGAGAATTACATGTAGTATATGGTTTTCTTTAGGAAATTGTGAATAAAATTACTTCTATGGTTGTTTTGGACATTGCTATTGTTATTTTACCCATTACCCTCATTTTTCCTCTATAAGTAATTTTTAATGTTATAAAAATGAAAAATTAACATTTGAAACTTTTAAATTTCAGTTTATTGATGGTCGACTGGCAAAGCTTAATGCAGGAAGAGGTTTCTCTGATATATTCGAAGACGAGATCACATCAGGTGGCTTCTGTGGAGGTAATGATAATCTTGAGACTAATTACCTAGACAATATCTGACTTTTGTGTCTGTCTCTGATATCTGTCTTTTATAAATAGTTATTTTCTCCTAAACACACACTGTTTTATGTATAATTTTCATCTTATATGAGCTATGCTGTGGACTTATTTTTGTGATATTAATTATCAAAGCAAGAAGGTTTGTCTCATAAATTAGTAGTTATTGGCTCTAATAATCTCTTAGTATTATTGAAAATAAATAACAGAAAAATCAAGTAATTTGTAACCTTTACTGGTTTCCCATCTAATGGCAGCTTCATCTGGAAAATGGTGACTGCTGCCTGTGTCTAAGTCTGAGTTTGGAGCTGAGAGTCTGGTTGAAATAGTGTACTGCAGTGTAGTGCAGCCGAAAACGCCGGCATGCCTGTGTGCACGCTGCCTGTTTCAGTAAGTGGGAAGTGGGAATCTGTACGACTCTTTGTCTACAAACTGCAGTAGGATTAGAAAAGTTCTACATTTACCATTCCAAAGCTAGAATGCCTTTCAAATATGAATATCCAGTGTTGGATTATGTAGGCAAGCAGTGGGTTCGAGACTAACATGCTGTCGACAGATATTCTACGGTATAGTCCTGCCATGAAGAGACGATTCTTTGAGTCCTCCAGGGTCTTAGTTATTCTTCCCTTAGCATTGATGAGTGCACACTGTGACTGCTCTGTATGTCGTGAGAACCATCTGAACAATGTATCTGCTCTCACTGTCTTGCTGTATTCGTTTTGGCATCTTTGTTGGTTTGCTTTGATAGGCAAGTTTTTAGTCATTTGAATAGTTACCAAAATTGAGAGGATAAAAAGAAATAAGTACATATCTGCATGTTTCACGCCTTACTTTTATTCTTAAATGATACCTATTGTCTGCCATAAAGCATAGAAGTAAATGGGTGAAGAGAATTTCCTCAAAGAAGAGCAGATGATCTTGGCAGCCATAGGACTTCACCTAGCAGAAGTGCAGCACCTGAGATACACTGAGCTTGGGGAAGTTAGTTTGTCTGACTCAGCAAGGGAGCTTCATGTGGTTCATTCAGCTCAGTTCCCACTCATGGGCAGAAACTCAGCTTCAATGGAACTTTTTGTGTTAAAATGATGCCTTTTTACTTTTCAACTCAGACAAGCAAAATATTGTCAGCTTATGGACACATTGCTTGAGGCGTCTCCACAGTATTTACATAACTGCTGTCTCATTATCTTTATGACCCGTGGGGCTGGTAGCTTTTGTAGAATTGAAGATGACATCTTGTGACAGTAATGGGGAGAGCTGTGATCCTTTTATACACTTAAATTCTGTAATAACTGCTAGTCCAGAAACTACAGAAAGAAAAGATGAAGGCACATATGGATAGCCAATTCATTTTATTTCTATTATGTATTCACTAAAAATAATAGTGTTACAGTGAATATGATGGATATTTATATTCTATCATAGAAAGATATGAGGCTTGGTCAGTATCTGACTTAGAGAGTGCTCTACTTAATTCCAGTTACATACTGATTCCAGTTATTCATTTTATTAAAATTTCCAACTCCCATGTTCTGTTCTGAGGGAGCAAATGCTTAACCGAAAGGAAAGCCCATTTCCATAGTTATCAATTTCAGTGAATAAGAAAGTATTTTTAAAAATTATGCCAATCAAGTGCTATTTTTATTTGTACTTTACATTGTCTTAGAAATACATAGATTGTTCTTAGCAAAAAAAAAATGCATGATTCATGAAGATTTGAAATGGAAAAGAAAATAGGAGTTCTTTTTTTCTTTTTATTTGGTGCTATTTTGCTTCTGCTGTTTAGGAGATTTATAAGGCACTCATTTATAAGGCATCTCCACTTAAACTGTTCACATGTAAGCATATTTTGGGAATTATTTCTGTTAGTAGGTTTCCCTGTGGTACTTTAGAGGTATTTAGTGTTGTTATTCCTCCCCATGCTCCTTGCTCTACCTTGCTCTCCTATTCAACCCCATTTAACCCAGCCTGCTCCATTATTCCCCTCCCTCTTCTTCTTCTTCTTTTTTTTTTTACTTTTCTTTTCTTAAATTTTTTTATTGGATATTTTATTTACATTTCAGATGTAATCCCCTTACCCCATTTCCCTCCTCCTGCCCAGGAACTCCCTATCTCATTCCTCCACCTCCTGCTTCCATGAGGATATCCCCCTACCCACCCACTCCCCCCCCCATCCTCGAATTCCCCAACACTGGGCATCCAGCCTTCATGGGACCAAGGATCTCCTCTCTTACCTATGCCCAACAAGGCCATCCTCCCCTACTTATACAGCTGGAGCCATGGGTCTCTTCCTATGTGCTCCCAGGCTAGTGGTTTAGACCCTGGGAGCTCTGGTTGGTTGGTATTATTGCTCCCCTCATGGGGCCACAAACCCCTTCAGTTCCTTCAGTCTTCTCTCTAACTCCTCCATTGGGAACCCCATGATCAGTTCAATGGTTAGCTGTGAGCATCCACCTCTGAATATGTCAGACTCTGGCAGACCTCTAAAGAGACAGCTATATCAGGCTCCTGTCAGCATTGACTTCCTGACATCCACATCCTTTGGTGACTACACATGGGATGGATACCCAGATAAAGCAGTCTGCAGACGACCCCTCCTTGAGTTTGTGTCCCACACTTTGTCTCCATATTTGCTCCCATTAGTATTTTGCTACTCCTTCTAAGAAGGACTGAAGCACCCACGCTTGGTCTTCCTTCTTCATAAGCTTCATGTGGTCTGTGAGTTGAATCTTGGGTATCTCGAACTTCTGGGCTAATATCCAATTATCAGTGAGTGAATACCATGTGTGTTATTTTGTGATTAGGTTACCTCACTCGGGATGATATTTTCTAGTTCCATCCATTTACCTAAGAATTTCTCGAATTCATTATTTTTAATAGCTGTTTCTAATACTTCATTCTGTAAATATTTCATTTTCTGTATCCATTCCTCTGTTGAAGGACATCTGGGTTCTTTCCAGCTCCTAGCTATTATAAATAAGGCTGCTATGAGCGTAGTGGAGCATATGTCCTTGTTATGTTGGAGCATCTTCTGGGTATATGCCCAGGAGTGGTATAGCTGGATCCTCAGGTAATGCTATGTCCAATTTTCTGAGGAACTGCCAGACTGATTTCCAGAGTGGTTGTACCAGCTTGCAATCCCAACAACAATGGAGGAGTGTTCCTCTTTCTCCACATCCTCGATAGCATCTACTATCACCTGAGTTTTTGATCTTAGCCATTCTGATTGGTGTGAGGTGGAGTCTCAGGGTTGTTTTGATTTGTATCTCCCTAATGACTAAGGATGCTGAACATTTGCTTAGGTGCTTCTCGGCCATTCGAGTTTCCTCAGTTGAGAATTCTTTGTTTAGCTCTGTACTCCATTTTTTAATAGGCTTATTTATTTGGTTGTCTGAAGTCTAATTTCTTGAGTTCTTTATATATATTGGATATTACCCCTCTATCGGATGTGGGATTGGTAAAGATCTTTTCCCAATCTGTTGGTTGCCATTTTGTCTATTGACAGTGTCCTTTACCTTACAGAAGCTTTGCAATTTTATGAGGTCCCATTTGTCAATTCTTGATCTTAGAGTATAAGCCATTGGTGTTCTGTTCAGGAACTTTCCCCCTGTGCCCAAGTACTCAATTCATCACTGAATTAGAAAGAGAAATTCTCAAATTCATTTGGAATAACAAAAACCCAGGATACCAAAAACTATTCTCAACAATAAAAGAACTTCTGGAGGAATCACCATCCCTGACCTCAAGCTGTACTACAGAGCAATAGTGATAAAGACTGCATGATATTGGTACAGAGGTAGGCAGAAAGATCAATGGAATAGAATTGAAGACCCAGAAATGAACCCACACACCTATAGTCACTTGATCTTTGACAAAGGAGCTAAAACTGTCCAGTGGAAAAGGACAGCGTTTTCAACAAATGGTGCTGGTTCAACTGGAGGACAACATGTAGAAGAACGCAAATCGATCCATTCTTATCTCCTTGTACAAAGCTCAAGTCCAAGTGGATAAAGGATCTTCACATAAAACCAGATACACTGAAACTAATAGAGAAGGTGGGGAAGAACCCCCTCCCTCTTCTCATTGCCTACCTTCTATCTGCTTCCTCCCATAACATCCAACCACCCAGCCCTTACAGTTTTCCTGACTTGTAGTCTTTTCAGAATACAACTTTGAGCAGCCCCTACCCCCTTTTTTTATAAGGCAATCACTTTTGAAATTAGGAGGAGGGAGTCCCTGTATAACTTGGTCTGTTCTGTTTTGTTATTAAGCAGTCCTGGAGGTGGCATTTTGGCATTGAAGAAGCAATGAATCAGGATTTAAAATACTTGATTCTTAATTTAGTTGGCCACTAATAGAACTAGTCATCATCCTTCTCCCTTCTAGAGGTTCAGGCACAACCAGAAACCTTGACTTTCTCATTGGCACTGCCTGTTTTGCATACTTTACAGTAGGGAAATGCAGACCATATACAGTAGGTGAAAACATCTTATGACCTATAAAAAGCTGAATATGAACTTATACCTCATGAGAGAATATAGTGAAGCCTTAGGTTCACGTGTGGATGAAAAATAGTGCTTGCTGGTGTGAGTCCTGATTGTATGGTGCACTCCCTCTCAGGACCCTGGTCCTGCTCTTACAACAGGCCAGTAAAGGGTCCTAAAGGGTCCTACTGGACTGCTGAGCATGCTGCTTCTGGACGAGCTGTGTTTCTAATTTTACCTTTTAGCAGCTATCCTTGGCATCTAATGTTTGTCTTTTCCAGGGAGCCCGCGGTCATATCAACAGTGGGTGTATACTGTCAAGGTAAGCATATGCCTTTTGTTTCTTCCCTTTTCACTCTAGAAAGTGTAGAGAGAAATGTTGAGAAAAAGTATTCTGGCTATACTTAACACTGTTTAATTTGAAATGTGTATATTTTATCACACTACGTATTTTTGTTTATACTTTGTTGATAATTATAAAGGAAATTTAAAATGAAAGTGTTTAGTTCAGAAGTAAAAGTCTTATTCAAAGCCAACATTTGCCTGCGTATTATATTATAGGTCAGAACACCCATGTGCTGCTTAGTTTCTGGCAGTGTGATACTTTCAGGAAGAGGGAACTTCAGTTGAGGAAATGCATCTATCATGTTGGCCTGTGGGCATGGCTGTGTGTCATTGTCTTGATTAATGATTGATGGACCAGCCCACAGTGGGGAGTGCCGCCCTGGACAGGTGGTCCTAGGAGGTTTAAAAAAAGCAGCTGACTAGGAGCTTGGGAGGGAGCCAGTGAGCCAGGCTCTCCCTTCAGGTTCCTGCTTGAGTGCCTGCCCTAGCTCTCTTTGATGATAGACTCTGACTTGAATGATGTAATAAATCCTTTTCTTTTGAAGTGATTTTCATAGGAAGAGAAAGCAGACAAAGGACTAGGGTGCAGTAGAAGGTCTGATGGGGTTTTACTAGAGAACAGTGTTTTGTTAGCATGATTTGTTCTAATGAAGAAAATCTCGCACAGATGAGTTCTTTATTGCCCAGCATCAAGCCAGCTGATAATCATCATCTTCTCTCTATTGAGAACCTTTACGTTTGTATTCAGTATTGTCCATAGTACTTGTTTATTTCAGCCTCATGATGAAATGACTCTTAAATGATGCTTTACACCAACTGAAAAGAACCAAGTAGAATATTTAAATTCTATTTTAAATCATTATAAAATAGAAAATATTAAAAATACTTGACATAACTTTAAGGGTCTTTAACTTGGAGTTATTCTTCTGGATTACCGATAATGTTTCATTTTTCTCGGACAGTTTGCCCACAAGTCTTTAAAACTGTGTCTCTTCTTTCAGAAAGGAGGTGCATTGTTCAACACGGCAGTGACCAAAGCAACTCCTGCTGTGCGGACTGCATACAAATTTGTAAGTTTCCTCTCTGAATTTCACACTTCTGCTGATAAAATTACATGAACGGTGTGTGTGTGTGTGCGCGTGCGCACACACACACTGGCATGCTTGCATGCTTGTATGCATACATTTACTTTTGTTTCTTTTTTAATGGCATTTTTATTTACTTAAGGTCAGTGTATAATTACTTTCTACATTCTTTTTTTTGAGAACTTCATGTGAGTATTGTATTTATGTCACTCTCCTCCTTCTCCTCTTCTTCCTCCTTCTTTCCTTCCTCCTTTCCCTCCTCCTCTTCCTTCTCCTCCTCCTTCTTGTTCTTCTGGTGTGAGTTACACTCCTCAAATTCATTCTTAAAATATAATTGTTACATCTGTGTATGTATTTAAGTATATATGTATATAAGTTATAAATACAACTTGAGTTCATTGAGTGTTTCTCGTGTGGTTAGGCATAACCTCTTGGGCTTGGCTAACCTCATTCTGGAGAAGACGGATTCCCTTTCTCTCTCAGCTGCCGTTAACTTCTAGTAGCTCATTTTCTAGGAATCAAGCCCTGTTAGAATTTTTCCATCCACATGGCACATCCACATCAGTTGTTGTTTAGGCAGCCATATTGTTGGGATCTCCTGGGTGCAGCTTCCCTGTCATCTGTAGAAGATATTTTCTCAGAGCACACATCCTGCACTGGGCTCCTAGAGTGTTTCCACGATGCTCCTTGAGCCTCAGCTGTGGGGTTGTGCTATGGATTTTTGAGTGGACTGAGCACCCATGGGTGGTTGTTCTCAGTGTTTTTGACCAGTTGTGTCTTTATAATGTTAAACAGGGTCTCCCATAAGAGGGTGGAGCTTACTATCAGGCCAGGTCAGGTGAAGTCCAGGAGCCTCATGAATCTGCCTGCCTTTGCCTTTCCAGCTGTAAATACAAGTGCAGCTGTAAATACAATAGCCATGCAGCCTTTTACTCTGGTCTGGTGATCGAATATAGGTCTTTATGCTGGTATGGCAAGCACTGTTACCTTCTGAGCTATTATATCTACAGCTCTGTTTTCCATTTTTAAAATAAGCTTTACAAAATGTTTAGAGTTCATATTGAGCAAAATAAAGTCTTTTATTAAAATAATACTGTATGGAAAATTATTTTCTTTATATAATCTAAATATTTCCTTGTTTTACTTAAAAGTTATCAACAAAATCATTTAGCAAATTTTGAAGCAGTCCACATTAGATGCTAGTTGGGAGATTAGTTTAATTCCTACAGTATATTTTATAGATTCCTTCTTTGCTTGAGGAGAAAATGAGCAGAACACTGTGTGGTATCTATCATCTGTTCACTAGATGATGCTTTAACTCTCCATGTTTCCTCAGAGATTTACTGTGGCTTACAGAATATGGTGACAAGAATAGCAATAAATAAGTAGTGAAAGGTGCTCTTTACTACAGCAGCTTAGGTTCCCGAGCAGCGGGGACCAGCCCCACCTAGTCCTGCTCTGCTGAGGCTACCCCCACCCCTCAGTTTAACAGACTTCCAAACCACTCGACTGTTCCTATTGCCTGCATTCTGTCCTTGCTCATGCTGTTTCTCCTACTGGGAACTTCCATTTCTTCTTTACTGAACTGGTGACACTGCCTCCTCTCTGAGACTTACATGCTTCACCTAGTTTTCTTCACACTCCCACCCCTTACCTACAAAAAAAGTACAGCCCTTCCCTTGCTCCCATAAGAATTGTAGGATTTGATTTGTCACTTATGACATCTGAACATATTGATCTCAAGATGGTGAGCTCCTTAAGGGACAACATAATGAGACCAATTCTCACTGGTTATATGGCTATATGGTTATATATATTCTATGTTTCTGAAAGTTTCCAGGGCAGTTGTAACTTTATAAGAATCCATCTTTAGATGCATCCTCAGTAAAATGTTTGTATGATTAACATAATAAGTTTTTCAAAACTTAAAGACATGTTTTTACTTCAGTTATTTATTGAGCAAGCAATTTGCTTGCCTATTAGCAAGAGTCAATTGTAAGAGGAGCCTCAACTGAGAAAACACCTCCACCAGACTGGCCTGTGTGCAAACCTGGAGCATCTTTTCTCGATTGATGATTGCTGTAGGAGGCCATGGTCATTGTGGGTGATGTATCCTTGGGCAGGTAGTCATAGATGGTGTAAGAAAGCAGATTGACCAAGCCAGGAGGAGCTAGCCACCCATCAGCACTCCTTCGTGGCCTTTACACAACTCCTTGCTCTCGCCATCCTGCTTTGCCTGAGTTCCTAACCTGACTTCACCACTTGATAAACTACAAGCTATAAGATGATATAAACCCTTTCCTCCCTAAGTTGCTTTTGATCATGGTGTTTTACCACAGCAATAGAAACACCAACTCATCCACTGTGAGTTAGGCCTTGTGCTCATCTTGAGTCAGAGCAGAGACCAGGAAAGGTATTGTAGGAGAGACGCTGTTAGTGGTGGTCAGACACAGTACCATGGTTACATCTGTGCTTTCATTTAAGTGAATATGATTTCTGTCTTGCACTTATAAGGTTTTTTATACTACAGCCTGCTGAAATATTTTTAAACTCACTGAGTTTGTGCCTTTTCATGCTTATAGGAACCATAAACAAAACTAAGAGACAACAAACACCTAGTCATAAACAAAAGAAGCACAATCAGATGAAATGCATAGTTAATCTGTCTTTTGATTAGGGTATTTTATTAATGAAACATACAACCTTGGTGTGCCTAAGCTGCAAAGTAGATGGAAACTTTACCTCATCTTCTAGGTTGACGTTAGAACTAACCAGTGGACAAATTCGAACATTGTGGAAGAGGCTGACATTAGATTCAACTTTGTATACTATGGGCAATAAGGAAACTGTATGACATATAGGCTAGAAAATAATTCAAAAACAGTATGAGGAAAGTAAAACTGGCCCCAAATTCCAAGAGATAAGAACAAAAGTTTTTTTCTTTGATAATTGCTTACTTTATCACAACGTAAGGATGGATATAGGACCCTTTGATTCAATTGCTTAACAAATAAAGTAAGGAATGAAATGTCTTTATTGATTCCCCAAAATACAAAAACAGACAAACAAACAACAATAACAACAACAACAACAAACCAGAGGATATATTCTAGTGTTAGATAGTTAGAGATTTTCTATTGTAATATTTTTCAGTTTTGCTTTTAAATAATGTGAAAATAATTATGTTCAGTTCAGAACATTGCTTGAGTGCTTAACTGTATGTCAATGATGTTCTGAGCTTACACATACTAATTCGGAAAGAACCTTTCCTTCAGAGAACTTGAGAGTCATATTTTGACTCCCCTCAAAAACAACTTAGGAAGCAGCACAGGTACTAACCTGTGAGTACTTACAGTGGTAGCAAGGGCTTTGGGACTGAAGTCCAGACTGTGTGTCTGTAGATAAGATTTATGCTGTCTTCTTTTTGGTGAGGCTTAAAACACTGATGTGTTTGAAAAACATTGCTTGTTCCTTACTCCTTGAAAATGGAGACATTAGATTTCACAACTAAATATAACCCAGATTTGGATCTAGACAATACAGACTTAATCTTCCTGCATCACTGTACTCTTTTATATGGTGTCTTGGGAGCAATGTAATCTTGGAGGTGGAACAACAAACAGTGCAGTGTATCTAAGCACCCAGCACACAGTCGGGAAACACAACATAAATGAGGCTTCCTTATGTCTGTTTTTATCCGGAATACTCTGAGTAAAAATCTCCAGGGCAACAAAGGTCCCACCATTATGAAGCTCCCAGTTGTCTTAAGTTGGATCCCACCATTCACAGTCAAACTGGAGACACTGAATCATGAGGACAAATCCTAGAGAAATATAAAGTTGGCGTGAAATTGTTCAATGACTTTTAATTTTTGCTGGAAAATCTCTGTGTGAAATACCACTCCCCTAAGATGCCTGTGCTAGTATTTGTCTGAAAAAGCACTTCAACAATGCTCTCTAAAATTGCTTTAGTTTCTTGAAGCTTATACATTTGTCCAAATAACTTGATGCTGTGATTTACTTTGTCTCTTTCCCTCTCTCATTGGTCACAACTTTAAATTCATACAGGGATCGGGTACTCGATTGATTCTAGGCTGAATGTTAACCTTAGTGTGTTTGTATGCAATACAGATTGAGCCTTTTAAACAACAGTTTAGGCTTGGTAAAGTGGTAACTGGATGGCCTCCCTGGAAATAGTATTAGGATATAATTTGTTTCTTTTCTAGTAATACGATAGTTAGCAAACTTTATTAGAGATAATCTTACATATCTGTTTATTTAGTAAATAATAATGGAAGCGTAAGAAGCTAGACACACTTATTCTCATTTCCTAGGCAAAGAGTCACGCCAGACTGGGACTAAGGGAGGTGAAGAGCAGGCTGAAACACAAGGTGCGTCTGCCTTCTTGGTCTTCCTACTTCACCCTGATTTTGTATGAGTCTGTATCCCCTGCTCTAGAAACTGTAACACTTGTTTTAATGGCTTTTAAGATAAGCTCTCCCTTTGTTCAAGAATGTATTTTTTTAACAAGTCCTCCGGCAACTAACTCTCAGCTATTCTATATGTGTCCACTGAATAATCTTTGTATTGCTTGATGTTTTCATAGAATGTGGAGGTCTTCAAAGATACTTTTAGCAGGATATATGTTTTCATAAAGTTGATTGCCATTGTACTACAAGTGAAGATCTTGCTTCAACCTGATCACTTAAAAAAATATCTTTGGGTTGAAATTAATCAAAAAATGCCACCATTTGGTTTTATAGGTTCATCCCAATGGTAGTTACTACACTGAGGAATGTTCCTAATTTATAAAAGGTCACATATGATAATTTGATTTGGAATCTATCGGTATTCCAGGTATCATGTGGATGCTTATATATACATATTTATGTGTTTGGTTTAATTACAAATTACATCTAATAATTTGTGTTCTGAATTTTTACTTTCGAAGAAAATAAAATACTTAAAAAATCTTCCATTCTAGAACATTTATCTTAATATAAATTTTATTTCAAGTAGTCAAAGTATGAATGTTTTTTTAATTTAATTAAATCACAGCATAGAAAATCATTATTTCCTCAGCATATTCTTTAAAATTATACCTATAGTGTGTTTTTTCTTTTCATGTTATCCAGGCAACCTTATTAATGAAATAACTTTAGTTTAAAAGTGGAGTATTTTAAAATAATTGTACTTTTCTTCATGTATAGGACAATGAGGAGGATTATGTGCCCTGTTCTGGTTTGGTACAGTATACACCAGTTTACACTTTACACAATGAAAAGGGAGAAGACAGAGAGAAGCATAAGCTTTCCCAGGTAAGGATGCTTGCCCTTTGTGCCCCCGGTCTCAGATTACACAATTTCAAAAAATTCTTTAGGAATAATTTGAGCCATTGATACTTCTCTTATTCAAAAATCAGCATTGCTGGTCAAGGGGGAGAGTAGTGCACTCAGGACTGAAATGGAAAAACAGATAGCCCTACTCTAAAAATTCCATCTTGATGCAGACACGGAACATCCCACACAGAACCTGGACAGCAGGTCATATTCCAAATATAATCTTACGGTAATATTTATTATAATATTGGCTCTGCGTATAAGCTGTCTGAATAATTAATTTGGTATTAGGATAATTCATGTTCACAAGATATCTCCATATGTATCTACAGATATTGTAGCACCTTAAAAACTGTATAAAATGTTAAATAGTGTCATTCACAAGCCTTTTGCATACTGGTTACCTAACTTGTGTTTCATCATGTCTTCAAAGAGTTTATACCCCAGTGAGTCTGAGAGATATTTAAATCTGTGATTATGTGCTGTGTATGGACAGAGTACCATAGAACAACAATAATAAGCTGCCTTTACTGCAAACATAAGATGCATAACCCAGACATCCAATATTAAAACAATGTTTGGAAATCCACGGGTGAAGTACTGTGCGGATGTGCCTCTTCCCGTGTTGGGGTGCCTCTTGATGGACACATTGTAGCTGTTCATGTTGTAACTGAAAATGCTTTGAAGATGCTTCCTGGATAACATCTTAACTACCAGCATGGTACACTAAGGGCTCTTCCCGTTTGTGACAGCATGTGTGACAGGAAGCTGAGTCCCTGTGCTGCCCAGAATCAAGGAATGGTCTGTATCATTTATCACTAGCTGGAAACAACTCAAAAGTTGAAAGATCATTTTTACTTAAAGTATATTGCTTTTCTCCATAGTAAACCTAAAAAGTCACGAAGCCAAACCATCATGGCATGGGGACTATATGCATGGTTTTTCTATACCTAGATATTTTATTTGCTATTATTATTTAAAACTTCTGTTCAAATGCTGATATTACTAAAAATATTGTTCCTAGTTGCAAACTGTTTAGAAAAATAGCAATGTGATCTTTTATTTTAGAGTAGACTCCCGAAGGTTTTAACCAATTAAACCTCACATACCAAATCGTGGTTTATTAGGTATCTTTAGAAATGAGCTTTAGAGTTAAATCCATATAGTGTCTGCAAAGCTGCTTTTATGACAGCCGCCAAGGCTGACAGCTAGGCTAGTCATAGCAATGTCTGTGGCTCATACAAGATTAGGGCCAGAAAAGGACACCTTAAGAAAGGAAGGGTTTATTTGACTCACAGTGTCGGGGTACACACACTGTAGCAGGAAGTCTGCATGGAAGCAGGTGTTTAAGCAGCTGGTCGGATACACTGTCAGGAGAACAGAATGAGAAGAGCTCTGATTCTCAGCTCTGGTTTTTACTTTCTAGTTCAGTCCGGGATCACGGCCCATTGAATGATGTTACCCAGAAGTACAGAAAACCTAACCAATATAGAAAATCCTCACAGATCCCTCCAGAAGTCGTTTCCATGGGATTCTAAACACCATCAATAGGGAAATCAAGAGGAACCAGATTTTGTCATGTTGACACTCAAACATGTCACTTTAAAACCATTTCCCTTCCTTCCTTCCTTCCTTCCTTCCTTCCTTCCTTCCTTCCTTCCTTCCTTCCTTCCACCTTTTGTCCTCATAGGCTCATAGCTATCCCATAATCCAAAGTGCATTTAACACACTCCCAGAAGTCTCTAGTCTCTAGTAGTGTCATGGTATTTAAAAGTCCAGACTCCACCTCTCATCTGAGACTCAAGGCAGTCTCTTAACTAACGTAATACCAATATACAGTGGCACAGAATATACATCCCACTCCATAAAGGAAGAAAGATGGGATAGCAGTGACCTGGCCAGACAAGACCAACAGCCAGTAAGCGAGCACTAAATCCTGCAGCTTCATGTCCTGTATCTGGCTCATGATAGAATCATCTGGGTAAAAGACTTGGGTAGCCCCTTTCCTCCATCTTTGCAACCTGGAGCACATAGTGTTTTGAACCAGCTGTAGTACTTACACTCAATTTTCTTCAGCTAATGTCTCAAACACTCAGCATCTTCAAAATTCAAGACTCTGCACTGTGATTTATACTTTCTTAGTTTGATTAAATGGCTCCTTAGATGTCTTTACAGCAACTGCAACCCTGCCACACATTGCCTCACCTCAACAGCTCTCTGGAACTTTGTCTTTCTTTCCTGACGCCCTTCTTTATGTTTTATGCCCGCACAATCAGTACCTAGTGAACAATGTAAGCTGTCAAGTTCAGGTGCCATTTGTTTGTGTGCCTGGCTCTCTTGGACCACAATGGCATCACCATTTGTCAGCTGACCCTGATGCCACATCTCTAGGTAGTCCCTATGGAGCACAGAACTCTGTCAGTAAAATTCTCAATCCAGGCCATCTACTTTCAGATAAACTTGCATTTTCACAATGTGGATCCTATGACAAGTTAGATCTCACTCTCAAAACCTGTTTCTTATTGTCCAGTGTTCAGTCTAGGTTTCATCCTTAATGTCATCCATCTCTGTAGCAATTCTGGCTGCTTTTAAACCTACTTCATCTGTAAGGTGAAGTTTGCCCATGCTCTTTTTCTTACCACACTGTACCTTTTCCATGTTTGGTGCCACTTTTCACTGCCTCTCACTGGAAGAAAGCAGCCCACAGCCTGAGTGCTCTCCTGTCTTGACATTTCCTCCACCATAGGAGTCAGTTCATTTCCTCTATATTCAGCCTCACTTGAGTTTTCAGAAAACAAGCAGAATGCAGCCAGTTCTTGATGCCATTACCACATGAATAGACTAGCTCAGATCCCAGTAGAGCCCTTGCAATTTGAAATTTCATGAGCCAGTCCTCTGCACACATTCCCGTCTGCACTCCTGTCTTCCAGCTCCAGTGAGAATGGCCTGCTCGTCTCTAATTACAGCTTTCATGGGCTTTTCTATGACAAAGTTCCAAATTCTTCCACGTTCTTCCTATACCACTATTCAAAAGACTATAAATCACATAGCAGGGTTGATTACAGCAGTGGTACTGTTGCCATTCCAGTGTTCTTACTAGCTACTTTTCTTGTTTCCAGGACAAAGTCACTTGGAAGGAAGGGAGGGAGGGAGAGAGGGAGGGAGGGAGGGAGGGAGGGAGGGAGGAAGGAAGGAAGGAAGGAAGGAAGGAAGGAAGGAAGGAAGGAAGGAAGGAAGGAAGGGTGGGTTTATTTTTGTCATGGTTTGAGGTCATGAACCATGTTGGGGATGTTGTGGACTTTAAGGCAGCTGGTCACATAGCATGTGCAGTCAGGAAGGAGTAGAAGGAGTGCCTGGAGCTTCCTTCTTCCTTTTACTCAGTTTGTGCCCCAAGCTGTGGGATAGTGCTGCCCACACACAGGGGGAATCTTCCTTTCTTACTAGCCCAGTCAATCTGAAACAAGCCTCACAGACCTACTGTGATTATTTAAAAGCTCATCAAATCAACAGTCAGTATTAATAATCACAGTACTATGAGATGTTTATGATAATAAAGTGCTGTTGCATGTCTGATTTAGCCAGTGGTGTACGACAGTAACAGAACACCTGAGCTTGAGCAATACATAAGGAATGTTTGAAGGCTGGAGAGCCTGAGTAAAGGCTCATGTGTCATAAAGACATAAAGATACTGTAGCACCTTTTCACATGGCAGAAGGGCAGGACAGAGCAGACCATGTGGGTGGGGATGGTGGCTTTACATGAATTTGAGTAGAAACAATTGTGCCTCAGCCATCTTAGGAATGAAGGAGGCCAGTAGATCTTTATGAAGAAGGCCACTCATCTAGCAATTCAGTGGCCACTGTGTCTAGGACCTTTCCTAGGTACCAGCTGTTAATAAGAAAAACATGGAAATATTCTGAATTCATGAGAGTATTTTTGTACCAGCTAAGTAATTTGTCTATTTTTCCTTTTATTAAGCTTATTTTTCATAGACTGTTATTAACTTCAGACCTTATTATCAAATTCTGATTGTGTTACTAAAGCATGTCTTTGAATAAAGTCATTATGTGTATAGAAAGTGGCCAGGACATCACATATTGACATTAAACCAGGCAGCGCTCTCCTATCTGCTTTTCTGACACCACTACTATGCTCTGTTCTTGACTGTGCATGAGCTTCAGTGCTTTAAATCGCTCTTGGAAACTTTTTACCAGCTCTGTAATAGAGTACTTCAATGATGATATTTACCACAGAGAACAGAGGTTTTTATGATGAGGAAAAACATTTTAAATAGAATTCCTTAAGATAAAAACATTTAAATCACAGGAATCTTTTTTCCAAATGTCTATATTAAGAGAATCTTCATATGCTAATTATTAAATTTTCCTTTTATAGCAGTATAAAACATTTTTATTATAATTTAATAACTTCTGTTTTTCATATTTCATGTTAATTTCTAGAAATGGATTTTTAAGTTGTATATCTTAAAGTATACAAAATGGCAAGATGATTACATTTAAGCAAATTAACCAATAAATAAATTCTCCATCACTTTCACAGGTGACTTTCTGTGGTTCCTAAGAGCATATTAGACCTTCGTGTGGAATTTTTCCCATAGGAGATACATTATCATTAACTGTGATCCTTCCCAAGTGCATCTGATGGAAAAATTAGTACAGAGCTAGACCAGACTTGGTTTTAAAAAGGAAATTGCTTTTGACATTCGGTAAAATAAAATATCCCCGTATCTTGTTTTCTGCATTTTTAATTGATATATTGTTAACATTATACATTATTTTCCTAGGCTGCTATAAGAATTATAGATAATGTAAATAAAATATCTTCTTAAACAATGAGTATAATAGGTAGTCTACAATTGGTAGCAGTTCATATACACACATGTGTCTGGAGTGCCAAGTCCTTTGTGACAATGGCCCTATTAGACTTTCTCCCCTCGTGAAATTCCTGTCCTTAGTCAC